TTCACATCATTCTGGGTCCATTTGTGTGAAAACAAGGTCCAATCAGGCTGAAACGTTACAAGAAGGTAGAATCTATTGAGTTGTAAGTGATTTGAACGTTTTAAGATGATCACACTTTCCTAAGGGGGTCAAACCATGTCCCAAAGGTCACCGGATCTGATGTCAATTTAAAGAAGTAGTCCAGTTACACATTTGTGGGCTTATAACTTGGCTTCTGAATGTCCTAGAGAGATCAGGTTTGTTTTAGTATACTCCAATCAACAGCCCCTACAACCACAATAAGGAATGGAGTCATTAGCACTTATGGTTTTTAAATGGCACCCAGAATTATGTTGCACGAAGCACAATTTCACATCGTTCTGGGTTCATTTGTGTGAAAACAGGGTACAATCAGGCTGAAACGTTACAGGAAGGTAGAATCTATTGAATTGTAAATGATCTGAACGTTTCAAGATGATCGCACATTCCTATAGGGGGTAAAACCATGTCCCAAAGGTCACCGGGCCTGGTGTCACTTTAAAGAAGTAGTCCAGTTACACCTTTGTGGGCTTATAACTTGGCTTCTGAATGTCCTAGAGAGGTCAGGTTTGGTTTAGTGTACTCCAATAAACAGTCCCTACAACCACAAAAATGAATGGAGTCATTAGCACTTATGGTTTGTAAATGGCACCCAGAATTATGTTGCACGAAGCACAATTTCACATCATTCTGGGTTCATTTGTGTGAAAACAAGGTCCAATCAGGCTGAAACGTTACAAGAAGGTAGAATCTATTGAGTTGTAAGTGATCTGAACATTTCAAGATGATCACACTTTCCTAAGAGGGTCAAACCATGTCCCAAAGGTCACCGGATCTGGTGTCAATTTAAAGAAGTAGTCCAGTTACACATTTGTGGGCTTATAACTTGGCTTCTGAATGTCCTAGAGAGATCAGGTTTGTTTTAGAGTACTCCAATTAACAGCCCCCATTACCACTAAAAGGAATGGAGTCATTAGCACTTATGGTTTTTAAATGGCTCCCAGAATTATGTTGCACAAAGCACAATTTCACATCATTCTGGGTTCATTTGTGTTAAAACAAGGTCCAATCAGGCTGAAACGTTACAAGAAGGTAGAATCTATTGAGTTATAAGTGATCTGAACGTTTCATGATGATCGCACATTCCTATAGGGGGTAAAACCATGTCCCAAAGGTCACCGGGCCTGGTGTCACTTTAAAGAAGTAGTCCAGTTACACATTTGTGGGCTTATAACTTGGCTTCTGAATGTCCTAGAGAGATCAGGTTTGTTTTAGTGTACTCCAATCAACAGGCCCTACAACCACAAAAAGGAATGGAGTCATTAGCACTTATGGTTTGTAAATGGCACCCAGAATTATGTTGCACGGAGCACAATTTCACATCATTCTGGGTCCATTTGTGTGAAAACAAGGTCCAATCAGGCTGAAACGTTACAAGAAGGTAGAATCTATTGAGTTGTAAGTGATCTGAACGTTTCATGATGATCGCACATTCCTATAGGGGGTCAAACCATGTCCCAGAGGTCACCGGATCTGGTGTCAATTTAAAGAAGTAGTCCAGTTACACCTTTGTGGGCTTATAACTTGGCTTCTGAATGTCCTAGAGAGATCAGGTTTGTTTTAGTGTACTCCAATCAACAGCCCCTACAACCTCAAAAAAGAATGGAGTCATTAGCACTTATGGTTTTTAAATGGCACCCAGAATTATGTTGAACGAAGCACAATTTCACATCATTCTGGGTCCATTTGTGTGAAAACAAGGTCCAATCAGGCTGAAACGTTACAAGAAGGTAGAATCTATTGAGTTGTAAGTGATCTGAATGTTTCATGATGATCGCACATTCCTATTGGTGGTCAAACCCTGTCCCAAAGGTCACCGGGCCTGGTGTCACTTTAAAGAAGTAGTCCAGTTACACCTTTTTGGGCTTAAAACTTGGCTTCTGAATATCCTAGAGAGGTCAGGTTTGTTTTAGAGTACTCCAATTAGCAGACCCCATTACCACTAAAAGGAATGGAGTCATTAGCACTTATGGTTTTTAAATGGCACCCAGAATTATGTTGCATGAAGCACAATTTCACATCATTCTGGGTCCATTTGTGTGAAAACAAGGTCCAATCAGGCTGAAACGTTACAAGAAGGTAGAATCTATTGAGTTGTAAGTGATCTGAACATTTCAAGATGATCACACTTTCCTAAGAGGGTCAAACCATGTCCCAAAGGTCACCGGATCTGGTGTCAATTTAAAGAAGTAGTCCAGTTACACATTTGTGGGCTTATAACTTGCCTTCTGAATGTCCTAGAGAGATCAGGTTTGTTTTAGTATACTCCAATGAACAGCCCCTACAACCACAAAAAGGAATGGAGTCATTAGCACTTATGGTTTTTAAATGGCACCCAGAGTTATGTGGCACGAAGCACAATTTCACATCATTCTGGGTTCTTTGTGTGAAAACAGGTCCAATCAGGCTGAAACGTTACAGGAAGGTAGAATCTATTGAGTTGTAAGTGATCTGAACGTTTCATGATGATAGTTCTTTCCTAAGGGGATCAAACCATGTCCCAAAGGTCACCGGATCTGGTGTCAATTTAAATAAGTAGCCCAGTTACACATTTGTGGGCTTATAACTTGGCTTCTGAATGTCGTAGAGAGATCAGGTTTGTTTTAGTGTACTCCAATCAACAGCCCCTACAACCACAAAAAGGAATGGAGTCATTAGCACTTATGGTTTGTAAATGGCACCCAGAATTATGTTGCACGAAGCACAATTTCACATCATTCTTGGTCCATTTGTGTGAAAACAAGGTCCAATCAGGCTGAAACGTTACAGGAAGGTAGAATCTATTGAGTTGTAAGTGATCTGAATGTTTCATGATGATAGTACTTTCCTAAGGGGATCAAACCATGTCACAAAGGTCACCGGATCTGGTGTTAATTTAAAGAAGTAGTCCAGTTACACATTTGTGGGCTTATAACTTGGATTCTGAATGTCCTAGAGAGATCAGGTTTGTTTTAATGTACTCCAATCAACAGCCCCTACAACCACAAAAAGGAATGGAGTCATTAGCTCTTATGGTTTGTAAATGGCACCCAGAATTATGTTGCATGAAGCACAATTTCACATCATTCTGGGTCCATTTGTGTGAAAACAAGGTCCAATCAGGCTGAAACGTTACAAGAAGGTAGAATCTATTGAGTTGTAAGTGATTTGAACGTTTTAAGATGATCACACTTTCCTAAGGGGGTCAAACCATGTCCCAAAGGTCACCGGATCTGATGTCAATTTAAAGAAGTAGTCCAGTTACACATTTGTGGGCTTATAACTTGGCTTCTGAATGTCCTAGAGAGATCAGGTTTGTTTTAGTATACTCCAATCAACAGCCCCTACAACCACAATAAGGAATGGAGTCATTAGCACTTATGGTTTTTAAATGGCACCCAGAATTATGTTGCACGAAGCACAATTTCACATCATTCTGGGTTCATTTGTGTGAAAACAGGGTACAATCAGGCTGAAACGTTACAGGAAGGTAGAATCTATTGAATTGTAAATGATCTGAACGTTTCAAGATGATCGCACATTCCTATAGGGGGTAAAACCATGTCCCAAAGGTCACCGGGCCTGGTGTCACTTTAAAGAAGTAGTCCAGTTACACCTTTGTGGGCTTATAACTTGGCTTCTGAATGTCCTAGAGAGGTCAGGTTTGGTTTAGTGTACTCCAATAAACAGTCCCTACAACCACAAAAATGAATGGAGTCATTAGCACTTATGGTTTGTAAATGGCACCCAGAATTATGTTGCACGAAGCACAATTTCACATCATTCTGGGTTCATTTGTGTGAAAACAAGGTCCAATCAGGCTGAAACATTACAAGAAGGTAGAATCTATTGAGTTGTAAGTGATCTGAACATTTCAAGATGATCACACTTTCCTAAGAGGGTCAAACCATGTCCCAAAGGTCACCGGATCTGGTGTCAATTTAAAGAAGTAGTCCAGTTACACATTTGTGGGCTTATAACTTGGCTTCTGAATGTCCTAGAGAGATCAGGTTTGTTTTAGAGTACTCCAATTAACAGCCCCCATTACCACTAAAAGGAATGGAGTCATTAGCACTTATGGTTTTTAAATGGCTCCCAGAATTATGTTGCACGAAGCACAATTTCACATCATTCTGGGTTCATTTGTGTTAAAACAAGGTCCAATCAGGCTGAAACGTTACAAGAAGGTAGAATATATTGAGTTGTAAGTGATCTGAACGTTTCATGATGATCGCACATTCCTATAGGGGGTAAAACCATGTCCCAAAGGTCACCGGGCCTGGTGTCACTTTAAAGAAGTAGTCCAGTTACACATTTGTGGGCTTATAACTTGGCTTCTGAATATGAGGCCAGAACAGTCTCAATAAGAATTAAGTCACACAACCTTTTCCACAAATGCACATGTTCATTCGGAAATCCACACTCTGTGTTTCACAAATATAATTCGGAGGAACACAAATGCACACGCTCATTCGGAAATTCACACTCTTTGACACATAAATATAATGTGAAAAAATAACTCACGCAACATTCTCCACAAATGCACACGCTAATTCTGAAGTTCACACTCTGTGGTTCACAAATATAATTTGTAAGAACACTTGTAATATAAACTCACAGATCATACGAATTGCTGAATGTGCATTTACGAACAGCTTCTCATTTGTGAACCTTTCTGCGTTTGTGAGTGAAATCTGTGTGGTGCATTCACGAACAGCTTCTCATTTGTGAACCTTCCTGCATTCGTGAGAGAAATCGGTGTGCTGAATTTTGAGACTCTCCTAACGTCGCAGGCCAACAAACGTCACCATTGGTTAATGAATCTGTCAATCAAATATATGATTCCACCAGGGCGGTTCGCTTTCAGCCAATCATATGGCTCCTTATGTTACGGAACAGATCTGCTGTGCGCATGCACATTGCAGCTCACACGGCAGAGCGGGATGGATCGGTCACAATCTGTGAGTAACAGTTTTATCTTATTTCCTCGTTGTAATTGATGCAATGTTATTGAATTATGAGTAGAAGCGTTCTTCATTGTCAAGTAAAATGTTTTATGTTAAATTCAGTCCGGACGTTACGTGAAGTCTGGTCCATTCTTCATCTAGTTTAACATCAAGCTAAACTCAAGCGGACATTTGTTTAGTTAGCGTGTCTAGGTACCATTTTTTTAGGCCACGGTTGTCAAACTCAAGCCCTTGGGTCTATTTTTATTTGCCCCGCGAAATCAAATGTCAAATATATCATATTAAAACTGGTCCGCCGGGCGATTTTGCTGATAAGACTATTAATCCCATAGTGCTATGCAGCGTTAGCGCGCGAAACGAAGCGCGCCCTTGTTTATGTTTACGATCATTAGCATCCATGCTAGTAGAATCAGCGTGTGCAGCGTTACCCTCAGTCTTAAACAACTGAAGATACTCCTCTAAAGCCCCATTCCCATCTGTACCGGGTCGGCCCAGGCTGGGTAGCCCCAGTCGGCCCCAGCCTGGCCCGGTTGTTTCCACACATCCTTGCTTAGGTATGCAAGGAATGCAGTCAGAGACACTTTCAGCTTCTGGGTAATCAGCATGATAATGAATGATAATGAATTGAGCTTCCCTTAAGCCCATGTGGGCTGATTCTACCCACCAATCAGAGGCTTGCTCTAATGGAAGGTGTGAATTTGCTGTCAGCAGTGGGTGTGTTGGCCCTGGTCAGCCTGAAGCAGACCCCCTCGAGAAGAGGGCTGAGAATGAGCCTTGGTTGGCCCGCAAAAATACCAGGCCACCCAGATATGTAAACAACCTACGCTACCCGACCCGGTACAGGTGGGAAAGGGGCTTAAGCGCCCAGTTTACTCAGCGAGTTTCCGACTTTGAACGCCTAGAAAGAAGGTATCTAGCTGGAACAGGTGACCATCGGAGTGGAGCTAACTGAGCTTGAAACATTTAATTGTCATGAACTTTTTCTGCTCCAAAGCATGGAAGTTAATAACTGAGATATTTTCATAGAAGATAATTGCTATTTTTGGTTTTTGTTGTTGGCCTGTGAAAAAAGATTAAACTTACTCTAAAATGGGAACTGGACAGACTACAGATTGAAGAATAGAATAGAAAATCCCTTTATTGTCCCTCAGTGGGGAAACTGTGATGTCACAGCAGCAATAATGTTCATTACAGAAGCCAAACAGGAGAGTAAAACATAATAATAAAGAGTAAACTAAAATAAAACATAAAATAGACTAACTTAAAATATCAAAAAGGTAAAACAATCTAAATACTGAATATATACACATTGTAAGGAGTAAAAAGAGTAAATAAAAATTGAGACATAAGTTTCTTTCCAATTGAATAACAAGACATCTGTAAATAAACTTTTCAATAAATAGTGAGTTTGGCCCGCAATTTTTTCCCAGTTTTTAATTTTGTACCATTGTGAATTTGAGTTTGACACCCCACTTTAGGCTGTGCAGTAATAAGGAGACAGACACTGGCTGAGCCGGTGCATGAATGTTTTGCTGATAAGACTACTAATCCCATAGTGCTATGCGGTGTTAGCGCGCAAGACGAAACGCGCCCTCTTTTATGTAAAAAAATATTTTTCTTTATAAAGCACATCTTAAAAATCAGGGTAATGACATCTGGCACATAATAATTTACAAATTAAGCACTTAATCATTGTATGTAATTGTGACTCAGTTAGTGTGTTTTTCTTTTTACAGGAACTGTCACCTTTGGTGATTCGTACAGCTCAAGCCTTATGTGATTTATTGGGCAACAAGTTATCATTGGCCCCAACTTCCTCACAAGGGACTGGCCAGAGTGCAGGTAAGAGCATGCCAGTTTTGGCAGTAGGCAGCGGCCAAAGTACTGCTCTTAGTGCACCTGCTGTTCCCAGTGCTCCTACAGTGAGGCAGGCCTTGAAAAGGTGATGCATTTCTAATTTCATACATTTGGTAAAACAGGATTGAAACGCAAATCATGTTAATTTATGGCAAATGTTTGGTGGTATTAAGGGGTGCCTATCTAAAACAGCTGTATGGCCAGCTCACTAATGGATTCTAATGACTGAACATTAATTTAGAAAACCTTGTGTAAACAAGTACAAACCTCACATTTACACTACACTTATAGTGCTGTCCAACAAGTTTATGAAGCTATCTATGACTGTTTAATCTGCAACATAATAGTTTACTGTATGCAATGCAGACTCCTTGCTTAATCTGTCTTTCAGCAAGTAGTCCTTGACCTGAAAAATGTTGAAGACCCCTGTATGTCCACTATCAAAAAAGAAAACACACACACTGTTTGCTAACATGTTTCACTTATTCCCACACCAGGCCATTTCCACACATCTTTAATAAACCTACTGATCAGCCAAGGGGGAAAAGACGATTCTGCGCTCCTACCACTTCTGTTGTGAAAACAAATAACTTTCATGTATATGTCCTTCCAAGACCCTCTGAATTCACACCAAAGGGCTCAGCAGAAGAACTACAGCTTGCCACTGCTGGTCTTGGGAAAAGGATTATACGTCTGGCAGAGAACTGGGGACACAGTGATGTAATTAGTCAATGCTATGAGTACATTTTGATCTGTTGCTGTTTTGTTGGTTGTTTTCTCACAAAATTTTAATTTTTTTACAGATTGAAGCTCAACTTTGGAAGGAATTTCCCAAACTGAAGAGCTTGAAAGGAGGCTGGATGTTTTACAAGTCCACAGGTAGGATTGCAAATGTCAAGTGATTAATATTTTATTTATTTCATGTTAAAAGACCAAGATAGGGGTGTTGGTGGCTTTGTGGTAGAGCAAGCGCCCTATCTACAAGGATGATGCCACAGCTGTCCAGGTTAAACTAGAGTCGTGGCACTTTTTGATCCATGTCTCTCCGCCTGTCTTCCATTCATGCTCATCTGTTCTGTCATTTGAAGGCTTAAGAATATATTTTTTAATTTAAAAAGCCCAAGATAATATACTTGTACTTCTTTGAATTAACAATTCACACCACTCAAAAAATTGTACAGGTACTTTAAGTATATTCTTGACAAAGACTTACTTGCCTGATATTATTTGATGCATGACTAATGTTTTAATGGAAACTATTTCTGTTTTAAAATAGGGGGTAGTGGACGTCGCAAGCTGACATCAATTTTACAAGGCCCTGAGGGATACACTTTTGAGACACTCAAAGGGGCATCCAGCAATGGCAAGAACACTTTATTTCTAGCTCCACTACAAGAACAGCTGTCTATCGAACCCCTTCCTTATGACTCTCCAGAGTTTGCCAACATGCCAAAGGCAAAATGCATGAAATGTGAAAGTCTAATGCCATTGCAGCTGCTACCTTTACATGTGGAGGAATGCAATGTAAGCTATGTTATTTTCTTCCAATTTCTGTTACTTCTACATATTTTTTCTTGTTTGTGTAGGAAAATTACTGTTTGAAAGTCTACAGCTCCAGCTCTTTTTCATTTTTAAGGTGGATGAATTTGAGTCATCTCCTGATGAAGACTGCACAGTTATTGAGGAGCCAGGTCTCTGTTCTACAGCTGTCTCAGACCTTCCTACCACTGAGACTGGAGAATCCACAAAGATGGGAGAATGTGCTGAAATGGAAGAGTCGTGTGGGGTATTTGACTCTGTAGTAAATTCTTAATCCACCATAGGAGCATAAAGCATAGCATGACTTTCAGTTCATAATAATGTGATGATTAGATGTATAAGTAGGTGGGGTTTAATCGCCAAACTGATTTTAAAAGACGCACAATGTACTCAATGTAGATCGTCGAGATGCGATACTATCTAGGGTAAATATAATTCTGAGGTTCATTGACAGTTTTCTTCCTCTTTGTTTTAAATTTTGTTTTTCAGGTTTGCCCAATCTGTCAAGCAGCATACCCAGTTGATGCCCTTCCATTCCATGCCAGCACATGTGGTGAAAGGTAAGAAGTTTATAACTAGGATCAATATAAAATGTGTTTAATAACAGAATTCTTAACAGAGAAAATATTTTGTGTTTAGGCTTTTATACTTTTTATTGGTATGGAGTTTGCATTAGGCAGGAAAAATCTGTAAACGATAAGAAAAATCTTGTTTTTTCCCCCTCATTTATCCAAGTATTTTTTAATTATTTTTTTGTTTTTTAAGAATGGACATTGCTGCCACTACGCGCAGGGAAGCAGCCAGTCTGACAAGTGTTGATGAATTGCCAGGACCTTCATTTCTAAGAATGTCTACACCACCATCACCTGCTGGTAATTTATCAATAACAAGTACTACTGTTTTGTATTTTGAAACTGGTCCTTTTCCTGGTTCAAGTTGTTTGTGTTTGTAAATACGGTTGTTCAGGATTTATCTGTATTACTACTGTTAACGATAACTCTTATCGTTCTGGTATTTTATTGGTTCTGTTATCTACATTGTTTTAAAGTGATAATAGGGGATTCATATTCCACTGTAGTGTGTACTGGGTTGAATTGATAATGACACCAATATTAAAGCTATAAAGCACATGAAAATATGGAGAGAAAATTGTACTTTTTTTATTCGGATGTGTTCTCTGGGGGTCTTTAAATGCACACTATGCAGTTTTGCTTGTTTTGGCACCCCCTAGTGTCTGTTTTAAATCACTGCTGTAAAATGTTAGCATTGTCTATGTTCAGAAACACCTAGATATAACTGTTGAAATTGCGGCACTTTGGTGGCATGCTACATGCCTGTAAAGGGCTTTATAAATAAAAGGATTGATGGCTTTCTACTGGAGCGGTTCAGCGCCCTTTGTACCAGTGTTAGTACATGGTAGGAGTTTCCCCTCCTGTCAGTCCTTGCAGCATGTATGATTAAGGAGGAGTGAGCTGACAATACAGTGTTTGGCTTGAGCTTTCAGTATGTCTCCCACAGAAGATGAATACGACCATAAGAGGACCACCAAGGCTTAAGTTCATCGGTCCATGCAGACCCTCAAATGAAGCCCTTGGACTGATTTGATATTGGCTATCCCAAGCTGTAACTTGGATTCATTAATGATTAATGTGCTATGCCAACATTTACCACTTGTACAAATATGATTGAGTGACAGTCCCTCTTGAAAAGCTTTAATTAGCTTTATGGGGCTTCATAAACTTCACTCTTGACACAAAGTTGGCTGACTTAGCAATAAAAGCTGATATGGTTTTATCAAATTTTCAGACTGGGAGAAAGAAGAAGACCCCAAGGAAGCATGTCAGTTGTTCCGACAACAACTGCTGGAGCGCAACTCAAAACATCACCACCTCTTGCTGTCAATCAACATGTTTGATTCTGAAGATGACAAGGACAGTTCCTTTATAGAATTTTACAAAAGGAATAATATCAACTGGGCAGCTCCTTTCAAATGCACACTGACAGGTATAATACATATTGTTTGCTCATATTGTTTAGTTGCTAAAATGAATTTGTGTGATATAAGTTAAATGCATTTAAATTCATACACGTATTTATCTGTCTGTCCATGTATTTAGGAGATGCAGCAGTTGGTGAAGGTGTGAGACGACATGTTTTGTCAATGGCAATGCAGAAATTGAAGACTGGTTTCAGTATTAATTTAGGTTTGTATATGTTGGTGCACATGTTGATACACTTACAGAGAAGGTTTGACTATTGGCACCATGTTACATTATAATATGTTTAACAGCCACAGTAATCATCTTTGGTACATTCTTGCTGTGTCTGATTTCTAATTCCATTTTTGGTTCTTATTTAAAACACAGAAAAGGTTTCCTTTTACCTTGCTGACAGTTTCGTTTGCGGCTGCAAACATCCTCAGAGCTGACGCTGATGGTGGCGTCACTTCCTATTCCGTTTATCCGCAGGCAGCGGAGGATGTTGCAGCCGCAAACGGAACTATCAGCAAGGTAAAAGGAAACCTTTTCTGTGTTTTAAAAAAGAACCAAAAATGGAATTAGCCACAGTAATCGAAGCCTATTTCTTGACAATGACTAAAGAAGGAACATTTTTGTCATGAAATGGGATAATCAGATTGTCACTGTAGCTACTCTCAATGTCGCAGCACCCCTTGTCTTGTGTAAATTTTCACATGTATCGCCCCTTTTCAGTCAAGGCTATTCAAGGCAGGGCTTTCAAATTCCTTCACCTTACTTCATCTTGTTCATTTGAACAGCTAGCACAGCAAATCTATTTGAGACACTTTTAGAACACCACTGTGCCAGTGCTCTGCAAGTCAAAGACTTTTTCTCCTGTGTTCCAGCTTGTCTAAAATAGAATAAAATAGCCTTTATTGTCATTGTACAGGGTACAGCGAAATAGTGCCACTCCCTTGGTGCAAGTAAGGAAAATAAGAAACAATACAGAAATAATAAAAATGTAAAATCAACAATGTAAAAGAACAATTAAAACTAAAAAATATATAAATGAGAAAGTACAGAGATTTAAAATGTCAGATCATCAATTCTGAATAACAACAATATATACATGGAGTAGCAGCATTTATGTAGTAGCAGCATTTGTTTGATTTGTGCTGCTCGCTGTTGTAGGCAGAATTGATCAGTAAACATAAACTGCACGTATAAATAATGTTATTGCACAGGATTGATGTTAAAACAATGTATGTGGCACGGGTTAACAGGTTCTACTGGTTTTGTGGCTGTTTGCTACGATGCTACAAGCCTCGTTTCAATTTGAACTGCAGTCACCCCCCAGATTTTTCACCTCAGTCTGAAACCTCCTTCTCAGGCCTCATCTGGCCTTTTACATAGTTGGCTTGTTTAGACAGAAGCTATTTCTACCAGGTTTTTATTTTTTGTTCAATTTTTTTATTTTGTAGGCTCTGCTAGTGTTACACCCCTTTTCGAAGGGGAAAGGGATCATCATGTTCCCTCAGCTGCTGGTGTGCTTCGGGAATGCAAGCTGTTTGAGATGGCGGGTCGAATTCTCGGACATAACTTCATCCATGGTGGGTCTGGTTTTCCAGGACTCAGTTTGGCTGTTGTGAATATGTTAACTGGAGGGCAGATTGAAACCGCAGCAGCAGCTCTGACTCTAGAGGATGTTGCTGATCTTGATAATCGTGAAACTATTGGTTTGGTGAGTAACACAGTTAAAGGTTAGCTTGTTTTCCAGCAAAGCACCACACTGCAGCATGTTTGTCCTATGCATCATCAAATGATGACAATTACTTTGTCAGTGTTGGGAAAATGTAATACGTTTTTTGTGTTACTGCAATGTACAACTGATGTTGCCTATTTAAAATGTAAATTGTTGCTCAATTAATGAACTGCCTAAAGGAAAATGTAAGACTTACTTCTTTCCCCTTTTTGTGATGTATTTATTTCTGTAGCTGCAGAAAGAAGAACTGACTGCAGAAGAAATCAGCAGGGTGACTGATCTTTGCCTGTCTTGGTATCTACCTACTCCAAACCCCACCAATCACCACTGGCTGTTCCAGTTGATGCTTTCAAAAACTGTAAGCGTTTTACCTTCTTGAAACAGTATCCAAATGACATGACATTCTCAATATATAAATGAATCTTGTGTTAACATAACAGCCTAACCAGTTGGAATGCATATTGGAGGTTAGCTACTGTCTTAACTAATGCTGCCTATGACTTTACAATGAAGCAGTGCCTCAAGCCAGTTACATACTCCACAAGAAGTGACAACTTTGGTTTTCAGGATGCGTCTTGTGGAGTATGTAACTGGCTTGAGGCACTGCTTCATTGTAAAGTCATAGGCAGCATTAGTTAAGACAGTAGCTAACCTCCAATATGCATTCCAACTGGTTAGGCTGTTATGTTAACACAAGATTCATTTATCACTTAACATGGAGGATGCTGAGGCCATCAGTGTCAAGAAAGACTACCTTTTTACCTGTCACTTTCATATCCAGGTACTTCACCATGGTATACAGCCTATTAAACAGATCAGGAAAGGCCTGAAAGAAACTGGAATCTGGCCACTTCTTTCCGCCAGACCAGATGTCCACTCCATACTTTTCCCAAGGGAGTCAAGTGTGGAACTTAGCTCACAAGTAAGCTGGCTCCTTTCTTGACTGGATTTATTTCTGGGGTTTGATTTAAAATATTTAAGTGTATTTTGTGTTTCTAATGCTATATGATGACATGCTCCAGAGTTATCTAGCATAAGTTTTTATCTTACAGCGTTTATTTTATGTTAAAATAAGTTAGCTTCACTTACACAAAGTAAGCAGTGATATTAAGTGTTTGCTCTAACCGGAATCTATTGTACTTTTTGACAAAATAACACATTTTCAGTTAGAGATACCAATTTTATTAAATCTGGCGAGATAACTCAAATAGGCTAAATAAACCAATGACATTAGAAGCGATCCCATTTAGACAGGAACAGAAAAAATTTGAACTCTAAAATCAAATGTTAAGATGATACATTAGTTACGTCATAAAGTTAAAGTTCCATAGTCATCATCACACAATGGTGAAATTCATCCCTGCGTTTGATCCATCCCCATGGAGGGGAGCAGAGAGCTGCAGCAGTGGCTGGGCTTGGGAACTATTTGGTGGTTTATCCCCCCAATCCAACCCCTTCAAGCTGAGTGTCAAGCAGGGAGGCATTGGGTCCCATTTTTACAGTCTTTGGTATGACCCGACCGGGAATCGAACCCCGACCTCCCAGTCCCAGGGCGGACACTCTACCACTTGGCCACTGAGCTGGTAATAATAATTGTTAATGATAATTGGATGACATTGATGATCCTTGTGAAAGCCTATTTCCCTTTTATTAAAACACTGGAGAGAGACTCCTGTTACTGGTCAAACATTCTTTAGCTGACTATCTGAATATAGAACTTATTTTACACAATCACATTCTGAAATTTAACATCAAACCCTTTTCTGATATCCTGTAGACCATAATCGAGAGCATTCGCTGGCCACAGCCTACATGTGATAGTGATGAGGAGGACGACCCTGTTCCAGTGGATAACATCAGTACAGTCACAGGATTTTTGAGGAAATTCATTGAGGAAGGTAACGGGCTCATCTTTCCTCATGCATTGCATTTTGATTATCATCTTGGTCTGTGTGTGTGTGTGTGTGTGTGTGTGTGTGTGTGTGTGTGTGTGTGTGTGTGTGTGTGTGTGTGTGTGTGTGTGTGTGTAATGACATGAAATTAAAATTATGTTGCTAAATTTAGGTGAACATGCCAGACCTACAAGCTCACTTAATAAAATTGCACATCACATTGTAAGCTTGTAGATTGACCGTTATTATTGATTGAATGTTTCCACATTTGTAATACAAGTCTAATTACTGTTGAGGTCTCACACACTTTTAATGCTGTCTTCTGTAGCATCACCAGATGTACTCTGTGACCTCATGAGGTTCTGGGTTGGGTGGGAGCAGCCAATGAGTAAACTCTATGTCAAGGTTGTACGCTCAATCTACCCAGTGGCTCACACCTGCTTGTACACATTGGAGCTTCCTGGTCACTACCAGACATATACAACATTCCACCAGGACTTGATGATGGCTCTCAAATCCATCAGCTATGGCTTTGGGAAGGTGTAATGCAAATGTAAGTCATGGTGTTGAAATCTGATACTTGCCAAAATATGCATAGTTGTTCATGTAACAGATAAGAGCCTTCAGTTCTGGCTTTGTTTAGCTGTTGGTAAGGTCTTGCACTTGTCCCTTTTAAAAAGTCTGTTTTGTTTAACTTCCATTGTTAAGGCACTTTCAAACTGTGGTGCCCTAATGTTTTGAAGCAGGTCCACTAAAATGTATTTCATTTTTGTACTCTGCAATTCAGGTATGTTAAATAAACACTGTTAGTGTGTATTGTATAGTGTATACAACTGACACACCACTAGTTTACTGTATTGTTGAAATGCAATAAAGTTTTGTTAAAGACTTTGTCCTGCTGTATATTACTGTTACACCTGATGTTGCGAGCAGAAAGCATACAAAGTTGTGGGTCTGGCCCTCCCATAAATCCCCATAAAAGTGCCAACCTCTTTTCTTTGGCTCTTCTGGATGTCTACCAAAACCAACCTTTTACCTTATTAGTGTTGTTATTGTATTTAACCACATAAACACTAAATACTTACTTAAAATTTTACAAAAGATTATTTTAAATAACATTTCATTCTAAATGTTGGGCTGCATCAGGTGGCGCAGTGGTTAGCACTGTTGCCTCGCAGCATGGAGGTCGCAGGTTCGAAACTCGGCTGCGGCCTTTCTGCATGGAGTTGCGTGTTCTCCCCATGCATGCGTGGGTTTCCTCCGGGTACTCCGGTTTCCCCCACAGTTCACAACATGCCCTATAGGTTATAAATTGTAAGTCGCTTTGGATAAAAGCGTCTGCTAAGTAAATAAACAATAAACAACAATAAACAATACTGTATTTTAAATATTGTGTTAAAAATCATTAATATCTTAAAACAAAGCAGCAGTGCTTACAGCATAACCCTGTAATCCTCAACCCTGCCTGTCACTGATGGATTACAACAGGTTTTCTGTTACACATGCTGAAGCGGAAAATGAGAAGTCACACTCTTGACAAGATGTCCTGGCACAAATGTGGATCAGTTCTTTCAATCTAGCAGAGGTTCAGCACTGGGACTCAAAACAAGCTGGTGGGGCAATCAGGAGTGATCAAGCATGATCTGTCTTCTCCCTTTGTCGATCGCCGCTGACCTCCTCTGCATATCCCTTTTTTTTTTTTTTTTTTCCCCGTGTCCTGTCTGGCAGTGAAGCAAACATAATTAATGTCTGAATGCTGGTGACAAACCTTACAGATTTACTCTCATGTGGACCATCAAAGCTTCTGCTTTTAATGTCACATCTGATACTTAAAACTTTATTGATTTTGAATGCTTTTTAATTCCAACCAGACACAGAGACAGAGGTGAAAGAGAAAGGAAGAGACAGGGGGGGGGGGGGGGGGGGGGGCACAAAAATAAACAATGATGAACAAGAGTCTGCTTCTAGACCTGCAGAAAGAGAAAAACAATACAACAGGCGCAAGCTCACTGTGTCAACTTGATGAGGAATATAAAATCAACATTGTTTTACTGAACAATCACGATAAATCATAGTGCATTTAGTGCCAACCACAGCCTTGAGACGTGTTGAACGTGCCCAAGTCCATGCTTATGAGAGCACCACGTGAGCACCTGTGTGTGTACCCGCGCTTGTTTATGTAAGGTTTCTCTATAGGAGCGTCCAATAGAGTGTGAGGGACCACAGATCTGCCCCCCTAAGATGTGTAGGAGATGGAGGGAGCTCCAAGTCCCAGAGATCTCCCTGAAGTGCAGTAACACCAGGGAGACTGCAACCAGACAAGCCCCTGCCCCCCTCGAGAGGCACAGTGGATTGCCCCGGGGGGCCATAACCAGCAGCCGGCAGAGCCCGGGGAGATACCAGCGGCAAGCCCACAGCCTCCCACCCCCAAGCCGGCCGAGCCCAGAACCCAGCGACCCGAGACCCAGGGGTGACCAGCCCCACCGGGGACCCAGCAGAGCCCAGGGACTCAGATCCCACCAGGCAGCCACCGGGATTGATCAGGCAGACGCCAAAAATCTTAAACTCCCTGACCGGGGAGCCATGAACACTCAGGCAGACCAAGGCACCGCACTCCACACCAAGTGTGGCAGGAGGAGGGGAGATGAAGATGTATAGCATCAAAAGAAGGCCGAGGAGAGGGGTGGAGTCCAAGGCCCCATCTGACATATACAGTCATACACAAACACAGTCACACACTCCCTCCCTCATGCTCACACATGCACATACAACCCAAGGCTCTCCATACACACCCTATTCACTCTGGTCCCGGTACTGCTGCGCATGGGGTACAACCATCACCGGTAACCAGAGTTCGACCCTTTCTGCTGGGGTACTGATGAGCAGGCTCCCCCGCCCAACGCTGAGCAAAGCAACCCACCACCCCAGACCCCAACCAGACGGCCAGATCTCCCTCCTAGCCTCCAGCGCCAGGAAGCCAAGTGACAACAGAGGTGTGCTAAGACCACTAGTCTCCCTCCGCCTCCTCCAATATAGTGTTAGTGTGTGTTGATGAGGTGTATTCCATGGCTGTGGTGTGGTGGCATCATCTGGCCTATGCCAGCTGATGCCACCACATCACCCCACTTGCACCCACAGCCCTCTGTGTCTAAGTTCAGTTTAAAATTGGAAGTGGGC